AGACTATATACATTCACACCTAAAGATTAAAGAAAGCCCCACATGAACACATGAATCCATACAAAATTTTTAAATTTTTAAGGTAATTTCCTCTGAAAACGTTTGGTGTTGGGAAGCTGGATTGATGTGGGAAAAGAAGGAACTCTTTACTGAATATATTGTAAATATATATAAATTGGCCGGGCGTGATGGCTCATGCCTGTAATCCCAGCACTTTGGGCAGGCCTAGGTAGGCGGATCACCTGAGGTCAGGAGTTCGAGACCAGCCAGGCCAACCATCTGGTCTGGTGAAACTCCATCTCTATTAAAAATATAAAAATTAACCAGGTGTGGTGGTGCATGCCTGTAGTCCCAGCTACTTGGAAGGCAGGGGCAGGAGAATCACTTGAACCCAGGAGACGGAGGTTGCAGTGAGCCAAGATCACACCACTGCACTCTAGCCTGGGTGACAGAGTGAGATTCTGTCTCAAAAAAAAAAAAAATAAAATATATATAATATATATATATAGTGTGTGTGTGTATATATATATACGTATATATATATACACACATAAAATAAATATGTATATCCATAAATATGTTATTACCTATTTGCAAAATTGACATACCAACTCAAGAGTGAGAGGCAGCACAACATAGTGGTTAAGAATGCAGATTCCCTGGTGAATCCTGGCATTTCTACTTGGCAATTTTGTGAGACCTTGTTCAAGCTTCCTCTCTGTGCCTCAGTTTTCTCATCTGATAAGTTAATTCTCATAAAGAAGTTATAACAAAATTTGTCATATAATAAGTTGCCAGTATTAGTAGTAGAACTATTAAAGTGTTAAATTTTTAAAATCACATTTGTAAAAGTATTAGAAATGCCTGATTCTTTCTTGTACCTCTGTAATACCATGTTTAACTGAAATAGCGGATGAAGGCCTGTGGAGTTTGGGTCTCCCTCTCTCTCTCTTGACCTTCTGATTAAGAGCTTGGGCTCTTCAGTACACAGGATGAGGTTCAGATCCCACTCCCGAAGCTGCTCAGGAGCATGTTCCTTATGGGGTGCTGTAAGAGATGTGAAGATACTTGAATTCAGTGGGTTGCTTTGATGGGACAGGTACTTGATTGAAGATACTGTATTTTGAAAGACCAGAAGAGGAGATTATTCATTCATTCACTTTTGTGTTAATGTCTCTGTTCCAATTCTGCATTTAGGCTGGTTCGGTTTTATGTCAGCTCTGTTACTACAACAATTTGGAGAACCATGTTCTGGAGTGGGCCGGTTGGGTTCTGCATTTTGGTGAAGGACTGTCCAAGGCAAGCTACTAATGTGAACCAAACCCATAGTTTCATTCTAGCATCACTTAGTGATACTTGGAACTGAGAATGATGTGTGCAGATTATGCTGTGAGGTTTGTGCTCATACAGGAGGTAGGAGTCTGTAGTCAAAGCCTTTGTTTGCTTTCTGTTTCTTCCAGTCCAGCTATGGACAATGTTTGATGAGTTAAAAATTGGCCAATGCCAGATGCGGGGCCTATCCTTCAAGGAGTTTTTTAGTAGTGGAGATGACGTCTGTGATTAGTAGCATCTTGTAGCAATCTTTTTGAAGACCCTGACTCAAGGCACACACATTTGTAAGGTACCCAGCTGCACTTAGGGACAAAGGGTGTCTTAAGGAAATAAGGCAAGAAACTGGTTCTGTTAACTTGAAGGGAAAATGTATTATGCTGTAATTGCCATAATAGATATGATTATATTTATTTTAGGGAAAATCGAGATTCAGCAATAAACACCTCAGGCAAGCAAACCTAGCTAGTTAGTGAGGGACAAGCGGGATTCAAGCCTGGGCCCCAGGCCTCTCAGATTCCATGTGCTCTTTTTAGAGTGGCTTTCATCAGTGGGTCTATAGAATCTGATGGTAATATCTAAGCTTCTTTATTTTAAATAGTTTAAAATAATTGGGGAAGTATTACCTCAGAGTATAAGGATATTACTTTATATACAGGTTGAGCACTCCAGGTCCAAAAATCTGAAATCTGAAATGCCCCCAAATATGAAACTTTATGAGTGCCGAGCATTTGCTCAAAGGAAATACTCATTGGAGCATTTTGGATTTCAGATTAAGTATATCACAAATACTCCAAAATCCAAAATTTGAAACACTCACAGTTCCAAGCATTTCAGATAAGGGATACTTAGCCTGTACTTTAAGTTAATTTTTACTTTTGAAATATTATAAAAATATGATATTTTTGGTTGTTGATGTATCACCTATACACCCACATTTTATTTACTTCCCCCAACCAGTAGAAACTAAGAGGTTTTGTAGCCAGAGCTTTTTTACTTAGCAGGATATTATATCTGGGTGTTAGCATGATGGGGGGTGGGAACTAGGGCATTTCAGCAGCATTTTTGCTCAAGTGTTGTTTGCTTCTAGTAACTGTGGCCTGTGCCATTTGCTCTCAAGACAAAATTTAAAGATAATTTTAAAGTGTGTATCACATTCTTAAAATCAAACAGCAAAAATTCCAGTGTCTCTTGGTGTGTTTAAAAAGGTAAGACTTGGGCCGGGCGCGGTGGCTCAAGCCTGTAATCCCAGCACTTTGGGAGGCCGAGACGGGTGGATCACGAGGTCAGGAGATCGAGACCATCCTGGCTAACACGGTGAAACCCCGTCTCTACTAAAAAAAAATACAAAAAACTAGCCGGGCGAGGTGGCGGGAGCCTGTAGTCCCAGCTACTCGGGAGGCTGAGGCAGGAGAATGGCGTGAACCCCGGAGGCGGAGCTTGCAGTGAGCTGAGATCCAGCCACTGTACTCCAGCCTGGGCGGCAGAGAGAGACTCCGTCTCAAAAAAAAAAAAAAAAAAAAAAAAAAAAAGGTAAGACTTAAGTGTATACCTAAACTGAGAGGTGTTTTTCAAATTAAAATGAGAGAGTTCTGAAGAACAGAGACACCTGGAGATGCCTCAGTCAGTGAGGGTGAGGGCAGAAGCTTTGGCATTTGGCCAGGGTCGAATAGTGGTTTTACCTATTTCTAACAAGTGGGCCTCACACAAAACCTCACGGTCCTAATCATGTCATGGTAGCATCAACTTGCTGGGTCATTACTAACCAGATGAGATGGCTCATGGAAGGTTCCCTGCACAGCTCCTTCTGCCTGAGCAGGCAGGGTTCTCCCCGTTGGCTGTGGTCTATGTTTCAGGCAGGAGATGCTGAGACCATGGCTGTGGAAACTTGGCACAACACTCAGCATGAGGCTGTGTGAAACTGGTGCTTTCAGTGATCCCCAGTGAGTCAAGTTTTTGATGCAAAGAAGGACATTTTCCTTCTTTCATTAGTGGGTCTCCTTGGTTTGTTAAAATAGGTGTGAAAGTAATGGATACTGAATAGATAAAATGACAATCCTAACGTTGATTTTTAAAATTTAAATGTGAAAATAGCCGAGGAATTACTGTCTTCTTAATGAAACTGGTTAGGCGTTACATGGAAATTTAAAACTGAAAACAAAGCCCTTTGTTTTTAAATTTTTACTTTTTAAGTAAAATTATTATTTACAGATTGCTTTTGGAAGGAGATACTGAGTGGTGTACATCTCATCCTCCTCCCCTTCTCTTTGTTGTTTCTTCTATGTAAACACTTGGTCAAGAGAAAGTAGAACTAGAGAACTGCAAGTCCGCACCGAGTTACATTTGATTTGAAGGACGCTGGTGTTAGTTTCATGGTGACATATTAGCAGGGAGTTTGTTTTTTAAAAAATAAATTGAAAGTTTTGTTCTTGCTTTAAGTATTAAAATTATTTGGTTTTGTAAAATTGGAGAAGATGCAGGATTTGTACATTTCATAGTACAGTTAAAATATATATTTTTCTGGCAAACAGGTTTTAAGCATGTATGTACACTGTTCATTTAAATTTACATTTCTGGATGTTATAAAACCAGCCTTGTTAGTACACGTGATTCTGGCTTTTTGGTTGGAAGGAGGGAGAATGGAGGATTAAGGCAGATTAGAGTGTTGGGATAATGTCTGACTTTTTGTGTTCTGTGCGCTCAGAAATGAAATTCCTCCATATCTGGATGTTACTATGGTGATATTAGCAAAATGTGACTTTTTGGTTGGTATAGTTACTACAGTGCTTGTAGGGGCAATATACTGAGTCACTGATTTCCTGAATCAATATGTTTTGCCAGTGCTGACACAACTTCATGAGGGTTTCTGGTGATGCAGAATTGCCACTGCCTGTCAAGATTTGCCCCATCTGTCAAACATCTGTCCCATTCCACTGTGCTCCTAATAGACTGGATTACACCCGAGAGGCTGGAGAATCAGATGAAGAGAGCCTCATGCTAGGGTTTAATAAGAATAAAAGCAATATTATTATAGCTACCATTTATTAAATCAGTCTGTGTTCCAGGCACTGTGCAAGATGCATTATGACATTATCCTGAATGCATTTAAATGGAAGTTACTTCCTAAGCTTAGCTGCCGCTTGCTGCATGAATTTATGATCTTAAGTAGATGAACTTGGACTCTCTGGACTGAGATGCCCCCTACTTTAAAACAGGGATGATCTCTCACTGATACTGGGAAGAAGAGCTCTGAGCTCTGCAAGATTAAAGGTGCTACTGTTTTTATGGTAACAGTGCATTTTTGGCATTTGAAAGTCTATAGACGCACACATTCGGCTTCTATCTCAGCCCTGAGAATGGTTGTGTTTTATTGGCTGATGAGTTATTTCCACATATCACATATAAAGGTATTTGAATGAAGGTGCTTTGTAGTCATGACACACTACTCTTTTATTAATTATTAATACCTTAAGATTACAATTTGAGAGGTCAAGATGGTATTGTTTTTAATGGGTGTGGGTGGTGGTGGTGATAGGCATTTTTACCCTGGGAAGTGACCTACTAGGTTTTATTAAGTGTTGCAATTTGTCCAGTATGTGTATGGGGGAGGGGAGGTAGGAAGAATCTCAGGAATTTCTCTTATACTTTTTTTTCCTTCTGTTCATTTCTAGTCTTTATAACCTGGCTTCACTGGAACTGAGAGAGAATCTTCTTACATATCTTCCTGAGTGAGTCTTTAGGGAAAATAAGAGGAGATTTTGTGCAGAATGAATTTAAGTATTTAAAAAAAAACAGGACTACAGTATTACGTCAGAAGATTTGTGTGTTTTGGGAAGTTTGGGGGATGCCAACCGGCCTTTTCTTAACAGTCCTTCCTGTGCAATATTTTTTACCATAGAAATCAAATTGGACCTTATTTTTGAAGCTACTCCAAGTGAGGGATACTATATTGCTCGGCATTTCTAAGTATTCTCTAAGTGCGCTTTGTTTATTTTTTAAAATAGCTCTCTTACCCAGCTTCGGAGACTAGAAGAACTTGATTTAGGAAACAATGAAATATATAATTTGGTAAGTCCGTATTTGAGATTTGAATTTAACTTTGTTTTTAGTTATGATCGCACAGTAGTTGAGGGAGTTCTATGGGGATCTATACGAAGCCAGTATTTCCATAGATGTAGCTTGGGAACACTAGAGAAGCAGCTTCATTTCACACAAGTTAGGAATTATGATTCATGGGTAGGGGAGGTCAGGACTAGAGATGATGGACATAGGTGGAAACAACTGGCATTCTTGGGGAAAGTTTGGGCACTTTGAGGAAAGGGACTCGATGTTAAGAGAAGTACCAGTGAACATCTGCTAAGGTACCCAGTTGTTAACAGATGAATTCAGATTCTTTCTTTCTTCGGGGAAGACTGAAAATTGAATCTTTGTTACCATACCTTTTTTTTCCTTTTGTTTTAGCCAGAATCAATCGGAGCCCTCTTACATCTAAAAGATCTCTGGTTGGATGGAAATCAGCTGTCAGAATTACCTCAGGTAAGTGGTAATTTCACAGTGTCTCCCCAGAATGTAAAAGAGCAACAATAAGCTTTGAGTATTTCCTGCTGCCACATAAGGTTCGCTATAAAAGGATCTTGAAAACCAAAAACATTGATTGGAAAAAGCACATTTGGGAAAACATATTGAGCATGCATCATTCTCCATTGCCATATGAAAACTGAAAACCTCAACCCACCATTTGTAAATGTAGTAAATATTTCCTTTAGTTTGTGAAATCTGTTTTTTATTGTGTCCTTGCTACCCATATAGCTTACTTCAAGCCCAGCAGGTTAGTAAATTGCCAGGACCCATGATTCTGATGGTGTACCTTTCTGCCACTCCGTGATGTGCCAAGTGCTTTTGGGATAATTTGACCATGTTTTGCCCTGTAATAGTTCGTGTTAAAGCAATGTTAAATGCTTTTATTTCATATTTTTCCAAATGTTTCTTATGGTTTAGCTGGCATGTCGTAGTGTTCAGGCCTTTCCTACTGTTCCCAAGTGGAAGAACCACGTGCCAAATGAAGTGGAGTCTTGTGTAGACTTCTGAGCACATAGTCATCTTGTGGAGTCCTAGCAGACGGGCCTACATTCTGAGACAGAAACTGAGAAACCTAAAACAAACAAAAACCAACAGGCATTTTCCTCTTGTATTTTTTTCTCCAACTGTTACTGAATTTTATTCTTTCGTGTCTCTCATAGCCAGTTTTTCATATGACCAGTTGTAAGGCTCTGTACTTTCAGTGGGGAATGCCATATCAATGCAGGGAACCCTAATACTAGAAGAAAGCACTTTAGTAAATTTTTAGTTGTTATAGCGCTGAAGTTGCCATGATGTCACCTAATGACTAATGGAACTAAGGAACTAATTTAAGTCTGTTTATGAGATCTTGGCTACAACTGGGGAAAGGAGACAGATTAGCAACTCTTGTGGGTAGAGTTCGATTAGTACTTGGATTTTTCTAGGAAATATATGGGACATCCTGGTTGGGAGAATGCTAGTTACTTTAGAAGTCCAAGGATGGCAGAAAAATATCATGACATTATCAGGAAAGTAATAAATCTGTGGGACATAAAGGGGAAAGGAAAGAGTTGCGTATGTTCAGATGTGTGTAAATGACTTTGTGCAGAGTATGATATTCTAAATACAAAGAAATTAAAATTGCAATGATTGTGCTGTGAATGGTTATTTAAAAATGTCATTTGCTCCTATAGTATAAATTTGTGTTAAATCAGCATTAAACACACAAAAAAGTCTCAAATAATTAGAATGATTTTTCTTATCTTCAATGATGATGGAAAGAGAAGGATAAAAGGGCATTGTTAAAAGGAGTTAATGAAGAGTAGAACAACTTCAGGGATCTGGTCTGAAATTAGTAGAAATCTAGTCTAGTTTCCTTTAGACAGGAAATACAGGGACAGGATCATAAGGCAATATCAGGTGGATGATAAGCTGAAAAGAATAGATCAGACCAAATTAAATGTAGATGGAGGAATTTGTACTTAGATATTTTTTGTAGATATCAGGGAGCCACAAGATATTTTTTGAATAGAAGGTCATCCAGTTATAGGACGAGAACTGGCTGTGTTTCAGGAAGGAAATGAGGAAGCACAGTTTATGGAATGGTCTCAGGAACGGGGAGTTAAGACTAGAGCCCAAGAGGCAGAACTGACAGTCAAGGTAAGGGAGTAATGAGGGTAAGATTTAATATTGGGAAGTGGAATGGAAAAGTGGAGGCAGTGATAAGAGAGAAAGCTTGGACTTTGGGAATGGAAAGAAAGGTAGGTCTTGAATAGAATGTTAGACTCATGGAGGTACTTTACCTTATCCTGGTAGACTGTTTTCACTAAAGGCAGTATGCTGCTTTTAATGTTAAAGGTACAGATAGATCTGTAGGTTTCAGTTTTGCTGGGGAGCAATTGCATTGATGTTTGTGCTAACAAATGCTACCTGTCATGGAAGAAAATACAAAGTAGGTAGGTTCTTACCAGAGGAAATCCCAGGGTCACCCTACAGTGTAAGCTACTTAGATTAGTTCCAAACTTGAAAAGCTAAATTCTAGCCTCCTTTTCCTTTTATGATTGTGTGACCTTGTAGTTGTTTGTTCTCCTGTATCTTTACCTATTAAGTGGGAATGATTCCTTGCCTGCCTGAAAGGTGGAGGGCTTTTTGTCCCTGCCAGCTCTGTGTCTGTGATTCATACAACTTCGCACTTTCATTGGAAGGGGATCTAGGAATTTGCCCCTGCCTTCAGATTTGGATTCATGCTAAAGATAACATCCTTAGGACCGCCCTGGGATTTAATTGTGAAAAATCACTGGAACAAATGCCTCTGCACTGTGGCAGGTTTAAGTGTGCGTTTCTTTTTCCATGTCATTGTTATAGGAAATAGGAAATCTGAAGAACCTGCTGTGCTTAGATGTTTCTGAAAACAGGTTGGAAAGACTTCCTGAAGAAATCAGTGGCCTGACTTCATTAACGGATTTAGTCATTTCCCAGAACTTATTAGAAACTATTCCGGATGGCATTGGTAAGCATTGGAAATCACTAACTGCTAAACATACTGCCTGCCGTCATCTTGAGCATTTGGAGCACACTTTGATCCTTTGGTCACCACTTTCAGATGCTGAGAATGTGGCTCCTTAAAGTCTCCTTGCTGTTTGTTTTTAAAGAAGGAAAGCAAAGAGCATTTATTACAGCAGAAGTTTCTCTATATGCAGATGTTTCTGTCATCCTGGGTTGGTATCTACCTGCTTAAAAGTAACTGCTGTCATTACTTTTAAGCATTGATTCATCTTTACTTCATCTGTGTCTTCTCCCAATGATTTCATGAGGGATTAATTACCCCAAGTAATAAAATGTATTTAAGGCATATGAGCAGTCACTAAGAAATTTCTACTTTGGCATCCTAATAGCTTATTTATTTTTATTTATTTATTTTTTTAAGATGGAGTCTTGCTCTGTCACCCAGGCTGGAGTGCAGTGGCGCGATCTCGACTCACTGCAAGCTCTGCCTCCCGGGTTCACGCCATTCTCTTGCCTCAGCCTCCCAAGTAGCTGGGACTACAGGTGCCTGCCACCACACCCGGCTAATTTTTTTTGTATTTTTTAGTAGAGACGGGTTTTCACCGTGTTAGCCAGGATGGTCTCGATCTCCTGACCTTGTGATCCACCTGCCTCAGCCTTCCAAAGTGTTGGGATTACAGGCGTGAGCCACTGTGCCCGGCCAGCATCCTAATAGTTTATGAGAAAATAACTGACTTATTCCATGACCTCAGGGAGGTGCTGGAAGAGTGGCATAACTGAATTGAACCTTTGTTTAGTACATTGATAATCCTTTAACCATTCTGTGCTATTTTCTTTAAAAACAATCAATCCAGACATTTTCTTTACTATGAAGGAACTTATTCCAGTGTGAGAAATAAATGGAGAGAAGGTATAAACAGATACGGACTTGGGAGCTCCATCATAGCAAAGCCACTTTGAAGTTGAAAGAGACTTTATTTAACCATGGAGTTATCATAGGATTGCTGTCTTTAATTTTATTCAGAACATCAAGGAAGCTTCTGAAAGGTTTTCAATAGTTGGAGAACTTGTATGGCAGAGGACCACTGCCTCCGTGGTATGTGGTCAAGATGAAAATTTCAGTAGAAATTCAGACATTGTATTTTGGTTAAACCCGGCTAGAAAATCGATAGGGATTTTGACTCTATGCAGAGATGTTCACTGAGAATCGTTTATGGCATCTGAAAAGGGTTGTAGAGACTGGGCATGTTTTGTTGCTTGGAATGGGAAGCAGCAGAAAGCATGAGAGGATGACTTCAAACGTTTAAAGGACTGCCTTTCAAAGAAAGAGATGTATTACAGCTTTCTGATCAAATGAGCAAAATGAAAGGATTGTGAAGCTCAATTTCATTTAAGAAAGAGCTTTAAAAAGCAAAGATGGCTGGGAATGGCTCACACCTGTAATCCTAGCACTTTGGGAGGCCAGGAGTTTAAGACCAGCTTGGGCATCATAGTGAGACTTCCCGTCTACAAAAAATAAAAATATTAGCCAAGTGGGTTGGCACACGCCTGTAGTCCTAGCTACTCAGAAGCCTAAAGGGGAAGGATTGCTTGAGTCCAGAAGTAGGAGTTTGGGGCTGCAGTGAACCATGATTGTACCACTGTACTCCAGCCTGGGCAATAGAGTGAGGCCCTGTCTCTTAAAAAAGAAAGAAAGAAAAAAAAAAAAGGAAAGATATGTTACAAATTCATTTGGGCTGCTTAGTGAAGAAATGAGTACCTTGTCACTAGAAGTATTCAAGGGGAGGCTAGAAGACTGGTTGCCAGGAGACTTCTCTGTTGGGATGAGATGTTTCAGTGCTTGGCTGTGCTATTCAGTATACCCTGCAGAAAATGCTAGTGGGTCTCCTGACAGTGAGGGCAGGTCGAAGCCCTCCAACGACAGCGTTAGGCTATTGACTATGCTAAATAAAGAGCTTAAGAATTGGTTAGTTCTTCTATCTTGCCCTGTGGCTGCACACGAGGCAGGATACACCTTTCGATATTTTTCTTTCTCCAGCTTTATGACTGCGTTAGAATAGAGGCTGTTTTCAGTAGAGAATGAAGGGTGCCGCTTAATCCCATGACTTGTTGAAGTGAGAATCTGAATGACTTTGCTAGTGGCTAGTGGGGACTCTGAGGAGGCTGCAGTAAGACTTGTTCTTCTTTCCCATGAACAGTGGGTATCACCAGGACGTCCAGTCTTCCTGGCCTGAGTGAAATAGACTCCGTCTTTAATATGGCTTTCCTGAGGTTACCGCTTTATTCTGGACCTATAGAAATACCGCGCTGTAGGGCTCTTCACTGAGTCATTTTCATTCATAGGTGATTTAATAAACTATTTCTTTTGTTTATTGTAAGGATAATTCTTGGAGTAAAATGAAAGTCTCCTCTGTGCATGAAACACCTCCATGGAGAGAAAGCTGTTTTGTTTTTCTGTAAATTTCTTGGCTTTCCTGTGATGTTTTTATGCTTTTTAAAATGTTTTGTTTCTAATTGCCAATCGTTTTTGATGTTCTAAACAAATTATTTTAACTCCCAACCTTCATGGTCTAAATGATAGAGTTTCATAATGTGAAAAGCTAGATGAGGAAAAAATAAGTAACTGTTTGAAACAAAAAGAACAGCAGATAGGAAATTCCAAGCAGTGATTACGAAAATAATTGTAACTAATGAATTTGATAATAATAATAATACTAATGATGCTTTTACAGGAAAACTAAAGAAACTGTCAATCTTGAAGGTGGATCAGAATAGACTCACACAGTTGCCTGAAGCAGTTGGGGATTGTGAAAGTCTCACTGAGTTAGTTCTTACAGAAAATCAGCTCCTGGTAAGTGTGGTTTGCACATACATCATAGAGACTTACTAGGGTAGATTCTACTTATTTGTAATTTGAGTGGACTAAATGGAAATTTCTTCATATTATATCCCAGAAGGGTCTTACAAAGCAAATGCATGACCTAAAGATCAGTTTTTAATCTGCTTAAGCAAAGAAAGTAGTGCTTAGGTTTCCCTGTTGAGCTTGTGTCCCAGTTGTGGTGCTTCGAATATAGGGACTGAACAAATGCCTCACAGATGTCTCCAGTGAGGTGTGGGGATAAGCTACTCTCAATGGATGTGTTGATGCCCCAGCTGTGGTGCCCAGAGACCACCACTGGGAATATTCATCAGGATTCCTCTGGCCTCTCCTTGGGTTCTTTGAGCAAATGGGAAGAACAGGAGAGATGAGAAAAGAGATGAACATTGTCCAGGAAAAGCCTTGGCAGGATGGGGGCTGGGAAATGCTCTTGATCAGGGAGCCATAGGATGGTATCTAATGGGCTCTGGTTAAGGCAGCTTCTTATTAGAACTTTGGGGTAGAGGAGGGGTTCCTCCACCTGGACCAGGCTTCCACCAGACAAGGGCAGGGGTTATGTGTGCACCCCCTGGCAAAGGGTGGGTGGGCAGGGTGGCAGCAGATCTCAGTTGTCTTTTCCTGTCCTGCTTCCCCCTCTGCTTTTGTCAGTCCTTCAGTTGTCACTTCTTCTTCTTCCCCCCTCTTTTAGTTGTCATATAGCCACTCTGTTTTCTTCAGTTTACTCTCCTACTTTTCTCTTTTCTTTTCTCCATCTTCATTTTGTCACTTTATTTTTTTTTTTTTACTCTCTTTTCCCTTTTCCTTTTCCCTTTTCTCCTTTATCTATAAATAGAGTAAGTAATGTTCTTTAGGTAGAAAGAGCAAAAAGGACAGCAAGAAAGGATGGAGTGCATAGATGTGGGTGGGGAGCCCAGTAGCCCCTCCCCTCAGAGAGCTCAAGCAGCCAGCCTCTGGCAGGTGTGGCGGGAGTTACCAAATCTTCCAGTCCTGCTTTGTGATTTTAGGCTTACAAATAGTAATCATAACAACTGTAAAAATAATATTCACCCCTGGATTGCACTGGAGTGTTGAAGACTCCCATGTGGGTGCCAGCCTGGTTCTGGTAGAGCTCTGCTCCCCACTCCAGGATGCTTACCTTTCTCCCATCCCCATAGCCCTCGCCTTCCCCTGCCCATGTGGCACCCTGCTCTGGGTGCTGGTTCCCTGCCTCAGTGCTGTGGCTTCCACGGACATCTAAGCCACTGTCCCAGTGTGGTCCTTGAAGGTGCAGGCAGGGCGGGAATGAATCTTGAGGGTGCAAATTCTCAATCACTTGAGTTGAACAGCATTTATTTCCCTTTACAAGATGTTTCCCTGTTCCCAGGTCTCTACTTTTGATTTCATTCCTTTAAAACAGACTTACCATTTCAACAAAAATTCAAAATACTTAATGTCACACCCCCTAAGTGAACATTACAAATATCTAATATTCAGCAAAAGCTATTGCTTCGGTTGCTGGATGAGATTATATTCTTTAGGTCCTTCCAGAGATCTTATTTACTGTGAGCCATGTTAAAAATATGTGTTACATTAATAATGAAATTGTTATTTTAACAGACCCTACCTAAAAGCATTGGAAAACTAAAGAAGTTGAGCAACTTGAATGCAGACAGAAATAAATTAGTGTCCTTACCAAAAGAGGTATGTGCTTTTAGAGAAATCATGTGATCGTAATTATGAAGAAATAATCACAATACATAAGGGATCAAAAATGTCAAATACTTTGAAAAGACGCATGTGTTGCTTTTAAAGGTGTGAACTCCAATCTGTGAGTATAGAGCCGACTGGAGGAATTATGTCAAAGAATGGTCATCAGTAACATTAAGGAGAGTTGGGAAAGGTGAATTTATAGGATTTTAAACGGGAGAAAGAAAGAGATTGACATTTTGGGTTTGACATACAGAGAATGGTGACACCATTGGCAGAAATGGATTATTTGGGAGTTTGGCAGAGGAAGTGGACGACTTTAGCTTTGATTTTTAAATTTAATGTGGAATTAAGCTCTATCCCATAAGCAATTGGAATTATAAAAACTGATCTCGATGCAACCATATTTCTAGGCAGCGATTTACATTGGGCCATGCTCATGTCTTGGATGAGTTTGAACAAACTCTTCACAAAGGCATACACATAGAGGAAGGTGAATGGGAAGCTAAAGCCAACTTCCTAGGATTTTTTTTTTGGTCAGTGGTCTAAGCACGAGAAAACGAGATGCCACCGTCTGTTGTGGAGAGTAGCTGTGTGGACTTAGAGGTATTTAAATTCTGGCAAGGGAGGTGGAAATGCTGACAATGAGGAGGAAGCTTATAGTGGGTCAAACAAGGAGGTGTTTAGTGTGTTGTTTAAAAAGAAGGCTTACAATTAGCCAGGCGTGGTGGTGGGAGCCTGTAGTCCCAGCTACTTGGGAGGCTGAGGCAGGAAAATTGCCTGAACCCGGGAGGCTGAGGTTGCAGTGAGCCGAGATCATGCCACTGCACTCCAGCCCGGGTGACAGAGTGAGACTCTATCCCAAAAAAAAAAAAAAAAAAAAAAGAAAAGAAAAAGAAGATGACTTACTTTCTATTGGGTACTAGAGGAGCTTGGTTGGAGAAGGATAATACTGAACTTGATTTTTTTTTATTAGCAATAAAGCTTAAAACTAGCTGTTGATGAGCCTTCTCCTTTGCTGGGTCCTCATCTAGAAGGGTATGGTATTTCCTTGTATGATATGATCACTGGCCGGGTGTAGTTTGCTTCATATTTCCGTTTTGACTTTTTCTAACGTCTATTTTGGAGTAATTTCAAAACTGCCATCCAGCCAATCAGAACACGTGGCCTTCTTATTTTCCTATGGCCACGTCTCAGGGTATCTGAACTTCCTCTTTCCTTTCCTCATCTTGGTGTTTGGCCCACAGTGTCCCAGTCTTCTCCCTGGGTAAGGTGGCCAGCATTTCTAAATGGAGACATGAGAATATCTACTATAAACATGATCATATTCTGAAACATCTTTTATATGAACACTGGCATCTAAGTAAACTGTTTCCGGCTGAAAGACTTAAGTCTGTTTCTCAGCTAAACTGGGACACAACTAAGAGATTCTACTAATTAGAAAAGTTGGGTTCTAGTTTCTAAGCAATAAACCAAAATACACAGCTGATATTCTGAACAGTTAAATTTACTGTTGCTGGATAGTGGCAGATGGATAGTAGATTGGACATATAAACACACATACAGATGTAGAAAAGATTTCTTTCTTTCTTTTTTAATGCCAGGTAACTGTACTAGATGCTTTCAAGTATTTGTTGTACTTGTTGAATCCTTACAACAGCTTTTGCAGTCATGATGATTTCCTCATTTTATGAGTGAGGAAACTGAGGCAAGTAAGTTCTTTTTCTTACTTGGGCTCACACAGCTGGGAGTTGGTAGAACCTGACTCCAAAGATGAGTCTCTCAATAAACACATGACCACTTAGGTAATGCAGGCTCAGCCCAACCTTTCCATCTGTGACCTTGAGGTAGGGCAAGCCCCTGATTTGTTAAGGAAAGGCCAAAGTATCTTTTGGACACTACAGAAAGTTAATACATTTTAGGTTTACTTTCAAGGCAGATCATGAGGAGAGCACTTTTAGGTGTAATGTTAATTCCCAGCAAGTTTCACCACCCATCCCCAGCTTCCCTGATCCCCTGACTGTCTTTCACAAGATTACGTTCTAAACAAGAACCTTTTGGAAATTTACTTTCATAGAACTTTCACCATCATTTCAGCATCAGTTCTCTTTTCGCTTTAAAAGAATGAAACACACTCAAGTGTTTCTGACTAGAGGGTTATATCTAATCCATGCTATGTGTTCACTAAATTTACTAGAACAGTTTTTCATGATGTGAAAAGTGAAAATATTGTGAAAATATTTCTAACTTCAAAGCCTTTTAGTCATATTTTGTCCATTTTCTGAGAAATTATGATTGGTCTTCTGGCATCTGGCATTTTAGAAAGAAATAGTCTGTGCCTTTCCCTTCAGCTGTCTGATAAAGCAGAGAATGTTTAGGTTTTTAGGAATTGGATCTTTTCTAGATCGCCTCCTACTCACACACACTCAGCTCCCAGAGTAGGAAATGTGCTGAGCACATGTCTCCAACTCTCCCACGGATCACAGTTTGCTGCCCAGCAGAAATGGTTGAGTGCTTGCCTCTGACCACTGGGGCTGAGCAGCCAAATCACCGAGAGCCTCCTGATCTCTCATGCATCACGTTGGCCCAGGCAGCACCTTCATGTCATGAGTCTCTGTGCAGTGAGCGTGGTAGGCCCTGTGACTGTGTGTATGTTAGCTCTTCCTCCAAGCTTGATGCCATTTGATCAAATCTTGCATTTTCCTGATTGGATTCTTCCAAAAATGTATTGCTTTCTCTTGAACAGTTAAGTTGCATACATGACATCTCTAAACTGAAAGACTGACCAATTCAATTCATATGCCAAAAACCCATAGTAGTATTAATTGCCATTGGTCTGGTATGCTGTGTAGTTCTTCCTATATTTTGTCCTTTAAAAAAAAAAAATTTATATTATTGTGTGTTGCTAGTTTTAGGGCACAGCTCCTTAGTCTGTAGCAGCATTTATTTGCATTTTTTCCCCAAATGGTTGAGGGGAAAATGTTTGTACTGTGTGGGTCACAATAATGGATTCTGTTTGTGTTTTGTGGTGTTATTTGTAGTAAACATTTGCAAATCAATGAATGTCTTTTGTTTTCTTAATTGTTAGCTGCTTGGAAATTTAGAAAAGTCAGGTAAACTTGTTATCTTGTAAGTATTGTTCAGACCACAGTTGCATCTCTAACTTCCATTCTGCTTCTTAAATGCATGAAGATTCAAATCGGCTGACTGCTTTGTGTGCTCTTCATTATAAAATATTGGACATTTTCCTCTAAATTCAGTTTTTTGGTTTTTTTACGACTGCATGGCCTGGAACCTTATTTTGTTATGTGTTTTTCATGTTTGTTCAGATTATTCACTCTCAAAAGAATGCTTTTCTGTGAATTACATTTTAAGTTATTCAGAAATCTGAAAGGCATCATTTGGCAGCTCATCTGTTTTCACTAAATTGTAAGTTTGTTGGCACAAATCTGTCTCTAATGGAAAGGCTAGATTTGCTTTATTTGCTACACCTGGCATGCCTCTGATTTTTCAAGTCACTTATTTGTGTCTTTTATTTTTCATCCTGTTGCTTAAGTATATATACTTCTGGGAAAAGGAGATTTCTTAAAAACTCATAGTGTTGGTGGAGAGGAGAGTTAAGGAACATACTGTGCAGTAGTATGATTGATTCATGGATAGATGGAGTTGGTGGTATATGTGTGAGCATGAGTATGATGAACAAGAGCCAGACCGTAAAGAATTTTTGGCTAGAAGAAATTGAGCTTATATCCAAGTTTAGAGTCCGTTTTTCTTTTTGTCTCCATTAAGTCTGAATGAAAGTGACGCCAACTAAGCCACACTTACCCAGTGAGATGAGGCAAGATAACATTTGCAGATCATTCATCAAAGCTTTTTTTAATCAGACAACCTGTAAATATTAATTACCCATAAATATTACTATGATACTCAGAAATGCCTGTGGTGATAGAATATTCATTTTGTGGATAGTTTTCTGCCTTCTTCTTATTACAATTTAAAATTATTTCAGTATGTTTCCATTATATTCTAAAATGAATTATTGATTAAAGACATAATATAGAATATAAAAATATTAGATAAAATATAGTTGACCATCAGATTTCAAGATGGAGAAGTCATTCCTAAACTTGAAATAAGTCATTAAAAAATAGTTGATGGATTTGTCTACAGGAAAATTCGATTTCTGATCTTCAAGAAGGTAAAGATAGCCTTTACTTTCTTGAAAGGGGGCAGGGAGACATTTAAAGTATCTTAAATGAGAGATCTGTCTTTACTCTATTAGAAGTTCTTTTACACCAATGAGGAAAAGATGTATTAAATACATCTATAGAGAAGTAGACAAAAACAAAGAAACTTCCACAAAAACCAGCAAGTGATTCACAGAGGAACAAATAGAAATGGCAACTAATGTGAAACAATTTCAGCCTCATCAGTATTCACAAAAAAATTAATACCAAATTTTGGCAAGGGTGGAGGGAAGTGTATATTATCATGTAAATATAAATTATTATGACTTTCTGGAAGAGAATATGATAATAGTAAAAACTTCAGAAATGTGTATGCCCTTTGATTCTGCAAGTCCACGTCTAGGAAAACATTCATGGATATACACTAAGAATGATGCACAAGAACATTTCTCACATTATTCATAGGAACAGCCTACATGTTCCAGGCACCATACCAAGTGTCCATAGAGGCAGCTAACATGTGCCAGGCACAGTGCCAAGGGCTTTTGCATTTATTCTTATCTAATTATCACAACAGTTCTATGAGGTGTAGGTAAATCATTATCAGTGTCCAACAGATTGTGAAACTAAGACTGAGAGAGGTTAAGTAACTTCTCCAGAATCACACAGCAAAGAAGTGCAGACCTAACTAGCATTGTCTACCCTGGGTAGTTTCTTAAATAATCTGTGATACATCCATAGAAGGAAATAACTATATGGTCCATAAAAGTCCTCTTAGAAACATTGTTAAAGTGTGTATGTAGAATCACAAATGAATGGCAGTGGTACTGGAAGATCGTTCCTCATAACGTTAATACTGATTATCCCTTTGTGGTAAGATTCGATTTTTTTTTCATTGTGGTTTCCTGTGCGTGGATGTATGGTTTTTATTTTTCTAATCAATGTAAGGTACTTTTTTATAATCAGAAAAAAAGAATTCCGTAGCTGTTAGTGGATATTTTGATGTCAGTGGCCCCAGAATTCAGGGAATCCCAAAGCCACATGATTTCCAAAAATGTTTATGAAGTAGGGAACATTTGAATAATATGCCATAGATGATGGAATTTTAAAATTATGTTTCATATTATTTTTGCTCAGATTGCATTTTGGCCAGATTTTAATTATTGTACATTTTTCTTTTTTTGCCAATGGGATGTGGGTTCAATTATGTTACAAATAATATTAAAAGGAATATACTGAAGGAAAGTGAAAGTTCCCTTACACTTAAGGCAAGCATTTAAAAAATAGAATATAAACAAAAGTGACTAACGTAGGCTCCCTTTTTGAATCACTGAATCTGTCTCATGATCTTCTCCTTGGGTGAGCTAACCTGCAGGCAATTAATACTTAGTGAAAGTTGACCTGAGCAGAGGTTTGCTCAATAATCTGCAGATCCTATTTTCTTGAGATGGGTTAGATCAATGCCTAACAGCTAAGGAGACACAAAATGGCTGGACAAAGATTCTCAGCTATATTCCATAATTCTCAGATAATCCAAGTCTAACCCCTTGTATTCTGGGAAGGTGCTATTATGTGGTTTAAGGGAGGCTTAAAAATATCAGCTTCCTACATAACTGGTAATAAGTTTTTTAAAGTCTGCTTCCCAGAACTTCTAAATGATACAGATATTTTATCCTGATGACAACTAAGGAACCTGTAAACTCTGCCTCCTGAACCCAAAAGAGAAAGCCAAAATATATATGAATGATGTGTATAATGTCAGTGTTCACTATTATTAATACAAAGTGCCACTGCGATACATCGTTAGGGAGATAGTTTTTTAAAGACATTCAGGTGAGTTCAGGAAAGAGACTGCCAACATCAGTACAGTTCTAAGAACATAGTAGGTATTTAGGTGTTGATTGTACTCATCATTTGGATCTGAGGTTTTTACTTCCCGGAAAAAAAAATAGCTACCACATTTATTTGGCAGCAGCAAAAGGCCAGTTTCTATGATAGGTGCCAAATTATATACGTGGTTTCATTTAATTTAATCATTATTGTTACTTTTGGTTAAAGTAACACATCCAAACCCACAAAACATATGACTGAGCCTAAATTCTAGCCCAGGTCTGTATGATCTCAAAGCATCCACTCCCTCCATCATACCGCATCTCCTTCTGACGTCTATAATGAACTATATCTTTTCAGTTATGGGTTTGAATGCTTAATAATCTTTTCTAAAAACCAAAGGTTTGTGCCATCCCTTCCTGGCTGATTTGGAAAGAGGGCTGTGTTTGTGTGAATGTTTGCTGGGACAGCATGTGCCTTTGTGGGGTGATTAAGGCATCCCTAGCACACTCTGCAACAACATGTGCTCTTTGTTGGCATTGTTTTTCAAAAACCATAGACAATAGAGATCAGGAGGTCACACTGCCTGCTCTGACAATCCAGAGGGCCTAAGAGGCTCTTGTACGCAATTGCGTTCCACCCCTTGACGTCTCAAATGGGTATGAGATTAGAGTGGGAAAGGAAAAAGAAAAATGAAACAATAACATACAGTAGATAGCTCACACATTTCATTGAAGTTTACACTTTATCTTCCTAAATGATTAATGGATCTTGTCCAGAACATTTATTTAGAGCCCTCTGACCCACTTTAATTAGTTAATTAATTTTTTGGACTACATAATACATGCACATGATACAAATTGAAAATGTTCACATGGTATAGCAGTAGGGCCGCAAAACAGCTATCTTACAGGTTGGTGTGGTGGGAGGGCAGTGGACAGCTTCATGACAAGATGCCCACAGTTAAAATGCAGTCCCAGCTCTATATGCCTTCCAGGAGCTGATTATCCCCTCCGGATGATCATATGAATAATAATATCTGCTTTGCCCCCCTTGGGTCACTCATAAATCCTGTCTTTTCAAAGGTAGGTCAGGACGCTAGCAGGGGTCTTCAGCCTCAGCCAGCTGCTGACTTGGAAGCCCTCCTTCAGGGCATGTAGCCGTACCTCTGAACCCCAGCCTCATGCCGAAGCTCCTCCACCTGGGAGCAGGGATGCGGGAAGGGTGCCCCATGGGAACCTAGTCATTCTTTCTCATAAGTAGATCTTTGTCAGGATTGTCTAAATTTATCAGAGACTCTAATAATATTGATCATCAAAGGGATCAGGGTTTTGATTGCTTTCCTTCCATGATATTTCTGGGCATCTAAGTAGAACTGTTGATTCCCTTCCTTAAGGGAGGGAGAATGTGCTCAGCCATATGGGAAATCCAGTTGCACATTTCTTATAGGACACTATATTGGGGCTATATGTTTATAAAACCTAAGAGAGGCTACTCTGGTGATTCTTACTGGAACAAAAAAGAGTTTTGTTGTCTCCACTGCTGCACATAGAGGCAGGTAACTTTTAAGTAGAGGTCTTTCACAAGTAAGTAAATAAAGTGTCTAAATATACGTAAATGAGAAATTTAGTGGGCAGAGAGGCTATGCATGGTGGGTAGACAGCATGAATACTATACTTGCCAAGTACCCTGAGTGTACATAAACATGTGCAAATTAAGCAGTAACTCAGGTAAATGATCTTAGGGTTCTTCATGTGGTATTTTATGCTCTCAGAGGGTTAGACCATAATTATGAAATAAAGGCAGAGAGCATTTTATTATATGGACCAAAGGGTTCTGTGAAGGCTCTATGGAGGAAGAGAGGATGTTTAGCTAATTTTGGATCATTGGTAAGATTTAAAAAGGCATTTCTATAAAAAACAGTGGGATCCAAAATATAAAAATGTATTTAGGGTATAATGAGTAGACCATTTTTGCTGGAATGAGAAATATGTGAATGCGGGGACTAAAGGGGGCAAAATCTAAAAGCCTTTCTACATATCTGGGTGCTTTCCACATGACCAGAGACAAATTTTTTTTTTTTTTTTTTTTTTTGAGACGGAGTCTCGCTCTGGCCCAGGCTGGAGTGCAGTGGCCGGATCTCAGCTCACTGCAAGCTCCGCCTTCCGGGTTTACGCCATTCTCCTGCCTCAGCCTCCCGAGTAGCTGGGACTACAGGCGCCCGCCACCTCGCCCGGCTAGTTTTTTGTTTTTTTTTTTTTTAGTAGAGACGGGGTTTCACCGTGTTAGCCAGGATGATCTCAATCTCCTGACCTTGTGATCCGCCCGTCTCGGCCTCCCAAAGTGCTGGGATTACAGGCTTGAGCCACCGTGCCCGGCCTGACAAATGTTAGCCTACATTTACTTATATATTTATTTTTCTTTTATATACATTATGGTTAAATATTGTGGTTCAATACATTATTTTGAAATCTTTATATTTTTAAGGGAGGAAATAAGATTATGTATGAAGGTAATTATGTAGCCATTTACAAATCTGCGTTCTGCTTTTGAGGATATTATATACATATATTAAACACATGTATAAATAGAAAAGGGCAGAAGATATATTCAGATAGCATTAACCATTCAAGTCTTGTGCTCTTTCTCAAGTGGGAGCCTCTGGAGTAGTATTTTTCCATGTGTTGGAGAGACATCAATAGGTTCCTTCATGAGCCCTTCCTAGCAGTTGTCCTTAGTCAGGAGAGTGAGTACAAGAAGAATGTAGTACTTTATGGAGTCCTGCAGAATGTTGTGTCTGGGATCGAGCTATTTTTCCGTCCTCTTGATTCAGTTTTCCTGACTGTAAAAACCACCACCAATTTGTTAAAGAGAATCATTGGATTTTTGTGTGTGTTTATGTTCCTTTTTGAAGACCAGACTCATACAAAACTCAGTTACCTTTAAATTGCTTACTTTTAAAAAATGGTAATCAAATTTGGTGTGGATGGAGGTGTTGATCTGTGTGCCTTTACGAGCAGGCCACGGCTAAAGAAATGGATGTATAGATTTACTCCGTTCACTTTTTGTGAAGATACTGCTGATTTTACATCCATCAAAAAAAAAAAGTGAATTTACCACATTAATTTGTGAATGACTAAAAGCTATTAAAAGATGTATGGTGGAAATTAATGTACTGTATAATCTGTAAGATACCCCTTTTTTTTGAAAAAAAAACATGGAGAGTGCTGAAGTTAATATAATGGGCAAGTCTTGAATTGTGTGTTTATCAGGATCACCTTTGACCTAACTTTTGAAACTACAATTGTTAAACTTGCATATTACCACATAGTATTTTTCTGGATTGTATAGTTTGGTTAACATATTTAACAGATGCAGTTGGGTTAGATATCAGCAGTGGAAAATGATTTCTTCTTTAGAATAAAATTTTTAAAGTGTATCATTGATTTTCTTGATTTAATTTAGAACATGTACATCTAACGTTTCACAGAGATTTTTATGAACATATAGGGCTGTGTTTTGTATGATTTAAATTAATGATTATTGATCATCAGTGAGACCAGTGAGTTATGTGGTATAAGTTTATGCATCCTTTTTATACTGTTTGGTAAACAAGGTACTCTGATCCTACTCCATCTCCCCTAGAAAACTGGAAAAAAAGATTTATTTCCTTTCTCACCATAGATCGGCGGGTGCTGCAGCCTCACTGTGTTCTGTGTGCGTGACAATAGACTAACTCGGATACCTGCAGAGATGTCACAGGCAACAGAACTTCATGTGCTGGATGTGGCAGGGAACAGGTAAGCCTGTTGTATGCTTTGCTTGAGGGAAACAAATATGCATACATCCCAATCTTTGCGTGCATCTTCAAATTTTTGTCTTTGCTTTATCTTACAGAATATGATCCCAATTTTTCAAATGACCTAGGCCTCAGGGAGTTCTTCATATGGGGGCTAGAGTGCTTGAGCCCAATGGAGCAGAGAAAGGGGAAACCTGAGCATGGGTTAAAGTGTCAGTGGACACTTTTGTAGAAATGCTTCCCGGAATGATGGTACAATGATGCCAGGGAAAGAGCACTGAACTAAGAATGGGGAGACTTGGGTTGTGGCTTAGCTCTTCTAAGTAGCTTTTGTAAGTCATCATGGGCTTCAGAGTTTCCTCACCTGGAAAGTGAGCACAAATGAGTTCGAACTCAGTTTTAACCAGGGGACCTTGACATACTGACTCTGAACCCCCTGAAAATACAAACAAAATTGTGTATTTAGGGAAGTGTTTATAGCTAATGTCAGAATCTCCAAATGATTCATAATACAAAAAAAATTCAGAGCTGCCAGACTAGTATCCCCAAGGTCACAGCGTCACCATTTCTCAAGTTCCGGAGCAGAGGTCGTGTTGGACTGAGCGCCATTTTCTAGAATATGCCTGTTCATCATCTTTGTGGAACACATTTGTTTCCGTCATTCCGAGCTAATTTCAGCGCCCTAAATGTCATATGCGCCTTCTCTGTGAACAGAAACAGGCTATTCTTTCTACTGGGGACCCTCTTCTCTGGCTCCTTGACTCTCTTCTTCATCACTCAAGCTTTATTTTCTTGAGGGAGCCTCCTTTCTGAGTTCGCATTTGGGAAAATTCCCCTGCCATGGCAGTCACAGTACCATGTGAGAATTGCCAGTTTTCATATGGGTAACCCTTCTAAGCCTGAAGTTACCTAAAGTTAGATGTTCTTCTGGTTTATGTGTCATTGTATCACTTGTCAGATGCAATGACAGAGTGCCTGGCACATAACAGATGCCATTTTCAGTGGAACAAAAATGTTAATAGTTTTACAGGATGAATAGCAGGTCACTGCAGGATGGCTTATATTATAGGCTTCCTTGCCAAAAGGAATTAAAAATTGCTTTTGAGTGTAATATAGTTAGGAGAAAAAGGTTCAACTGCTTGGGGGAAGATGATCAATGATCTTAAATGGTAAAGGCCAGCAGTCTAAAGAGTGTTTGGGAGACTGTCTTCTGAGTGCTGATTAGCTGATCATTTTGGTCAGGCACAGGTCACCATTTTTTATTCTTGCTAATGGATTATAGACAGCAGGGCTAAATAAACAGCAGTTCTCAGCTGGAATCTAGCGGTGAGTTATAGCCTCAGGCAATGCTCACCTTTTCAAAGTTAATGCTTTCAGGACATCTTGATAGATTCTTAAGACCACTAACTGGTTGCCGGAAACCCAGGATTAAATTGAGTTGAACCTCAGATTTCTGCTGAACTAAGCAGAACTAAGGCGTGAGCCTTTACAGCTTGAGGAGGATACTTCTTTCCTGATCTTTATCCTCTAGCAGTAGAAACTCAATGAGTCAACATTTGCTGGTTCTTGCCACACTACTGAGCATGAATTTGCATCAATTCTTGAGCAGAAAGATGCCTGTGATGGCGAAAAACTGTTTTTACATGAATGAAGACCCCATTTCTCCAGTTCTCAGAAAAAGAGAAAGTTAAATTTTTATTATGCTTGGGCTGGGATGGAGAAAACCCAGTTAAAAAGTCGAGTTACACAGTTGTCATTTGAGTCAGTTAAGTGTGTCATTTAGTCCATGCATACGTATGTAGATTCATAATCAAATTTTTTTTTTTTTGAGACGGAGTCTCGCTGTGTCTCCCAGGCTGGAGTGCAGTGGCGTGATCTCGGCTCACTGCAAGCTCCGCCTCCCGGGTTCACGCCATTCTCCCGCCTCAGCCTCCCAAGTAGCTGAGACTACAGGCGCCCGCCACCACGCCCGGCTATTTTTTTGTATTTTTAGTAGAGACGGGGTTTCACCATGTTAGCCAGGATAGTCTCGATCTCCTGACCTCGTGATCCACCCGCCTCGGCCTCCCAAAGTGCTGGGATTACAGGCTTGAGCCACCGCGCCCGGCCGATTCATAATCAAATTTTAAGCCTATTAAAATATTTAATCACTGCTTATTAAAAGTATCAGTATAGAAACTAATTTTTTAAAAAAGGGCTACCTGGTCAGCCTTTTAGCTTGCAGAAATGTCATACCATAGGATATCATACTAAATCATATTAAATGTAACAGAAGCTTCTGCCTCTTCTTTCAAGTATATGAAAATAACACATGGCAGCAGGAAACGTACACTGTGAGTTTCTAGAAACTTTCTTTTGGAGTTTGGTAGGATAAATTATAGCAAGGATGACTATAACCTGTCACTTGGAAACTAAGTATTAAACCTTCTGTGACAGTAAAGAAAATGTCTTATATCATCAGTTACCCGAGCACAGAACACAAAATTCTTTAATACTTAGACTCTCTCCCATAGGAATATCCATCAAGTGTGCAAAACTCAGCATTTGAGGATTTTCCTTACTTGCAATATTAGTAGTACTGAATATTAGAAACAATGGTTGTCAACTGGAAAATAGGAAATAGCTTACACTTTTTAATTTTATACTATGTATGTATTACCCAGTCCAAAGAATTAAAAATATTAAAAGACAAACAACAGCATACTGTTGTGGAATACTAAGCAGTCAAAGAATGAGATATTTCTCTGTGCAGTGACACAGAAAGAGACCCAAGATACTGAGTGAAAAGGGAAAATGTTGAGCAGTTTATAGAGCTCTCATTTTGGTGGGGTTTTTTCCTTAAAAAAGAAAAAAAAATCACTTATTTGTGCATTGTACCCAAATACTAATAGTAGTTCCCCTAGATGAGACTTGAAGGTATAGGGAGTTTTCATTTTAGATATTTTAGTATTGTTTAATTTTTTGCCAGTTATGTTCTCAATTTTTATATATTTTTAAACATTTTTGAAAAGTTTGCTTAAAACTAAAAATTCTGGTAGAAAGTAACAGAAAGATGAAACATTACATTGTAAGGCGTATTCAGTCACTGGTGAAGTTAATATTAATCAGTAGGCCATGCTTAGATATTAAATAAATTTGAGAAGGCAGTTGCTATAGTAGTTCACAGGCATGGAAGGTCACTTGGGGCTGGGTTGGTCATGGATATAACTGGAGACAAGAGGCTTACAGTTTGGTCATTCATTTGCTTTAGTTCTTGTACCATTGGTGTGAATAGTAACCACAAGTTTTTTATTTCTGGGCGCATGTGGTCCTAAATAGAACACAGAGATGCCTACGGGCTGTGGTTTCTTGTGTGTTGATTCTGTTTATTCTATAGTGTACAGAAGGTACCAGAATAAACCAAAAATGTATTATTAGCTCCTTTGGAAAGCAGGAATGTATTTCTCATCGATTTTCTGACTTGTAGCTGGGATGGTTTACCCAAGAGAGACAGAAAAGCATGTGTATGTCTTTTTTTCCCCAGGCTATAGTGAGTTAGAGGATTAGCCAGCCGGCAGAATCTCAGTGGGCAGACTGTTCAGGGAACAGGGTGTTTTTTTCTTTTGGACACCACTGGCAACACTTCTGTCCGCAAGACAGTGGGCAGCTCATATGTGGTGTGGACTCAGTCAGCAGCAGCCACATTCAAGCTGGCACTTTGATTCTTTGCAGCAAAACTGGTGTTTCAGGCAACTCATTAATCTGAGTTGAAATATGTTGATAAGATTTGTTGTTGTAGAGTCTAGTAATTTATTTAGCTTTTGTCATATGGTTTGTCATCCTTAGAAGTTGTTATTTATTAGTATTATCGATGCTCTTTTTAGCCTCTTATTTATACTTTTGCTTTAACATTCAGCTGGCTTCTAGTCTGAGAAGTTACAATGACCACGTTTGAGTATCTGTGTTTTGTGCCAGTTTTCAAGTCTTGATTTTTTTTCTTTCTGTTCTCATGAGTAACACAGGTACAGATGCTGACTGTAAGTGTCTTGCCCAAGACTTGAAACTTTAAACATTCTAGTGGATGTTAGCTTGCTTCCTCTTTTAAAAGATAGACGAGAAAAATTTTAAATAAATTATATTTTTGTTCAATAAAATGAAAGAGTTTGATGTACTTGAAACTTTAACAGTGTATAATGCCTATTTAAAAAATCCTTGTCACAGTACCTGGCAAATACATGTTTTTAACTTTCTTGCATTTGAGTTTACATGTATGTAACGTTCTTTGGATAGAAAGAGAAAGAATTTTTGTATAAGCAGAAGATATTTCAGTTCTATCCCTTAAAGAACAAATATCTCAGAGTAAGAAGAAATGTAATTGTGATTCTGCTGTTCCCTGTGGTTCCCTCAGGTGTCCTTCTCTAACTGTGAGCATATGGTGGCACTGGGTGGATTCTAGGATTTGAAAATATGTATTTCTCACCTCATACTGCTCTCATTAGTGAAATATTATAATGTACAATTCATAGTCTTTTCAAGAGTACTTTAACATAAGCAGTTCTCGTGGATACACTGGCTTAAGAACCTCACTCCCACTTAAGTTACAGTTTCACAGTACTTCCTCAGTATTGCACGCAATACATATGCATGAGATGGACTCAGCCTTTACTGGACTATTGTTAAGGAAAAGAAAATATTTTCTCATCTTTGAAACTAACACAGAAATCTTGCAAAATGTATTGTTACTGTGAAAAGTTTGTTAATGATGTTTTTGTTGTTAATACTGTCCGTGCACTCTTTGATTTTTTTTTACTTCTTTTATTAAAGTAATTTAACCAGTTTATGCCTACCTTTTCCTCTGATTAGTTTTGTGTTATTGGAATACAGCTTCTTTTCATATCTTTAGAGAGTTCTAGTTTATTTCCCATAAGTTCTGTCAATTGAAATGGTATGTGCGTCTGAGAATTCACTGTTAGTCTTTTGGTAAGATGTATAGGTAGATTTCCTGCTAATGTTAACTGGAAATAGGTGTACATATGATTTCTGGCAGTGGTCTTTACTAAATAGATTCTACGGGTTGCAACCAATCTGTGAAGTCTTTGTGCAAACATAAAAATAAAACTAATCTTTAGGTGTCACATTATAACATTTAAAGTACTTTCATACATACTACCTCATTTGAAACTGAAATAATCTGATATAGATTTTAATTGTCACCTAGGACTCTGAGAAGTAAGAGCTTCTAGAAACTGAGAGATAAAGGTTTAGAAGGGAATACCTGAAATAATCTCCCTAGAGAAACTAGATGGAGTCCATACAATATGGGGTTTAATCTTTATTTTGGCTGCAACTTAAATGCTTTGACACCCCAGGCACCTCCTTCCTCTTGGCCTGATTCATCAGGTGCTCCTGGAAACAGGTAATCCCGCAGCTTCAAAACCAGCCCTGTCAGTGAGGCTGTCGCCATCAGAGGTAAAGAACCTCCTCTGGGTCCTTCCAAAATCACCTTGACTTTTTTTCTCTCTTTACATTGAAACCTAGTACAAGACCCTAAAAATGTGTCCTACAATTTTCTCTCTCTTTTTTTTTTTTTTGCCCTGTAATCTGGAGGTTCTCATGGGAGAAGTGAGAGCAGAAAAGGGAAGCACAGGAACCTACTGAAGAATCCACTTGCAAAGAGTATGTCAAGTGTCTTAAAAACATAACATCGTTTTTACATTTTGAAACCAATCTCAGGAAGCTGTTTTTAATTTTTCCTCATTTTATGGATAGGGATTGATTTGATTATAAAATTTGAGGTTGTAATGTCTCTTTTTTTTAAAAAAAAAAAAAAAATAGGTTGCTGCATCTACCTTTATCCCTGACTGCCTTGAAGTTGAAGGCTCTGTGGCTATCTGACAACCAGTCCCAGCCCCTGCTTACATTCCAGACAGACACAGACTACACCACGGGAGAGAAGATTTTAACCTGTGTCTTACTTCCTCAGCTGCCTTCTGAACCTACTTGTCAAGGTGAATTTAATTTAAGGACAGTATTCACAGGGCCACGAGATTGAGTAGGACCTAATGTCTGTCCATAAGGCCTCTTACTCCTTCATGTGATTGTGTTATATCCAGTCTGCACCTAGAGCCGGCTCGGGTGAGGACACTGTGGGACTCTTCCGGAAAGGTTACCCTACATCCTTGCAGAAGGGCCGCTCATATCTATTTATCATGTTTGAAATTCCATAAGCAGTTTTTTGGTTTTGAATTATAGCTAAGGCTGAAAATACAATACTTCTAAAAGTGGTAACAGAGTCTCTTAAAATCCAAACTGATAGTTCAGGGGATTAGTACTAACACCACTGGCATACTGTTTTTAAGCCATTGAATTATTTTGAGTCATTGTATCTTTGTTTTGTAAACCGCGTGGTTAAAAAAAAATTCACGTTAACATCAAAATGCTATCATAAACCCTTTGCTGAGGGCTGGGCTTGGTGGAGGGGAACCGGAGTGCCCTGGGGGAATGGGAGCCCCAGTGGGAGGACTTTAAGACCCTAAGGGAAAACGTGGTAGAGTGTGTTACTGAGGAAAGTACTGGTGTCCAACCTGTGCGGCCACATCACTGTCAGGACAGTTTTGAAGTTGCATAAAATAAGTATTTTAAAAGGGACTCTAAATTATGACATTCTGTGATGAAATATTAAACATATTAATTTAGCAGATATTTTATATGATCTCAAATAGAGTTATACATCATTAAAAAAGAAGGGGCCACCTTGCCCCGGGCCTTTTTCTTTTTGTTTTTGAATTTTGTGTGTGTTTGTGTTTTAAAGCCAAACTTGCCACAGAACACCACCCTTCTTTCTGGTGTTCTACCCCTGGTCCTCCGCATAGATTCTGCCTTGTCAGCTGCAAAGTTCATGGCTTTTACCGGTCACATGAACCGCAGTTCCCTGCTGATGTGGTCTTTGTCACTGCAGAGAATCTGCCTCGCTGTGGTGCGCTGGAGAACTTGGTAAATGATGTCTCTGATGAAGCCTGGAACGAGCGTGCTGTCAACAGAGTCAGTGCAATCCGATTTGTGGAGGATGAGAAAGATGAAGAAGACAATGAGACGGTATGGAAATGCAGATTCTTTGCCTCTGTGGAAGTTCAAAATTAAAAGATTGAGAATGGCACCTAATTAGGATATTCTTTATTTTGAATTAGTATGTTCTCTGCCTTGCCTTGCCTTCAGCATTTAAGAATTTTTTTAGAAGACAAAACTAGGTAATTCTAGGTACTCAGTCACAAAAGGTAAATGAGGCAAATGGAACTCATTTTTTTTTTTCTTTTTTGAGACAGAGTCTCCCTCTGTCACCCAGGCTGGAGTGCAATGGAGTGATCTCAGCTTACTGCAACTTCCACCTCTTGGGTTCAAGCCATCCCCCGACCTCAGCCTCTCAAGTAACCTCTGCCTCCCAGGTTCAAGCGATTCTCCTGCCTCAGCCTCCTTAGTAGCTGGGATTACAGGCACCTGCCACCACACCCAGCTAATTTTTTGTATTTTTAGTAGAGACAGGATGTCACCATGTTGGTCAGGCTGGTCTTGAACTCCTGACCTCAAGTGATCCACCCATGTTGGCCTCCCAAAGTGCTGGGATTACAGGCACCTGCCACCATGCCCCTCTAATTTTTGTATTTTTTGTAGAGATGGCATTTTACCATGTTGTCCAGGCTGGTCTACAGTTCCTGGACTCAAGTGACCTCCCCACTTAGCCTCCCAAAGTGCTGGGACTACAGGCGTGAGCCACTGTGCCCGGCCTCTTATTGTTGTGTTGTGCTGCTTTTATGGTGCTGCTTTTTATTTGTGATAGTTTTCCCTCCCACTGAAACTTTTTTTTTTAAATTGTTCCCAGTGAATGCTGTCTCTTCCCATGTTGACTCCATTTACTTGCCATGATTTGACTTAGTGCCAGACCTCTGTGCCTTCTTCATGTAACCAGCTCACCTTAGTCTTCTTGTAGAGGGCTTAGGATCTTAGTTGGATTAGTTAACAAGTTTTTGTTCAGAAATTGGAAAATACCAGTCACCCTTACTTTCATCTGTACTTGAAAATGTCTCTCAGACATCCAGCATCTCTAGGTGTTGGTGACAAGGCTTGACATCTTCCTAGCAGTTGACTTTGGTTTCTTAAATTCCTTAAACTAATTGAGATTTTTCTTAAGCAGAACTTAGAGGGTACTTGCAGCCCCCAAAACAAAGGCAGTTTTTAAATTTTTGCCTACAGTCTTTGTTATTCCAGTTGTCACCAAATGGGATTTTAGGCCTATACAATCATAAAGGGCAAAACGCAAATTAGGGATGATAAAATTACTCACTGTCAATGACTCTTTAATACTCACCTCAAGACTTGTTAGAGTGTGATTATCACCAGTTACTTCATTGCCTCTTCCAGTATTTTGTTAAGCTAGTTTGGTTCCCCCTAAAGCGCTTGGATAGGCCGTTTAAAAGATGTACACGCTGTTTTATGAGCTAAAGATCATGTATCATATTAAATAATATTTTAAAAATTACTCATACCCTGTTACTTAACTTCCAGTCTTTATTAGAAGAGTGTGAACTTTCATCAGTAGGTCATAGAAATAGTACACACAGCAGCAAAATAAGAAAAGGAAATATCTCCCTCTTGATTTCCTTCTTCTTGCATGCCTCAAGGGTTGAAAAAAGCCAGAATCGCTTTGGGTAATAGTAGAACATTATAGTGACTTTAATTTAGGATTTTTTATTTACTCTTTTATCTTTTTCTTTCCCCACACCCTATAATTATGTCCTAAATTTTAAAATAACTGTTCTTGCTGCTTATGGAGATTTTTATTTTATAGTAATTTCATATATTTATAAGTATTCTTTTATTCTAAAAGTAATCCTTCTATAGTAACGAGGTAAGTTATATGGAACACTTTCCCTTTCCCTTAACTACCAGTGAGCAGTTGATAAATGCACATACCTCCAAAGAAAGCTTTTCCACCCGCTTTAACTCAGAATTTCTAAGAAGGTAACATTTGTATTGGAATGCAAATGCCTTGAAGCTGCATGTTTTGAAGAAGTAGTGGAATAAAACCAAAACACTCACTCCACTGTTTGTTTTTAGAGAACACTTCTAAGGCGAGCCACTCCACACCCAGGGGAGTTAAAGCACATGAAAAAGACAGTGGAGAATTTACGGAATGACATGAATGCTGCTAAAGGACTGGACTCAAACAAAAACGAGGTCAATCATGCCATTGACCGAGTGACCACTTCTGTGTAGAGTTTCACCTCCGAGTTTTACCTCCTGTGTCTTCCTCTGCTGTCCAGACGTTCCTGTCTGCTTCCGGGGAGCCTCACGTGCTCCTTGTCTTAGCTAACCAGCCCCCGCGCGCCATCCTCCCGTGGAGTGTGGGGAAGCTGCTGTCTCCCAGGAAGTGCCTTACTCGTCCCGCAACCAGTCAGCCACCAGTGGTCTCCCGGCGTGATTTTTTTTTTTTTTAAATTTCAGTTGTTTGTAATAAGTAGAATACACTACTGTAAACATACGACCTTTGTTTTTGTCTTATGTTGGGATAAGGGAGAGCAGAAAGGGGAATTTTTATCCTACTCCCTTCCATAAAGTGCTGGGACATTTTGAATCCCCCAGGTTCCCTTGGACCTACTGATGAGAGATAGTTTTATGTATGGGGAAAAATGGATACTTTTTAAACCTTTTTTGGCAGCTCAGATGGTGTAAATTTTAAAATTTTGTATAGGTATTTCGTAACAAAAATATGTATTTCTTTTTTGTTATTTTATCTTGAAGACGGTACATATTTTAGTATTTGTGCAGAGAAACAAGTCCTAAAGTATTTGTTTTTATTTGTACCATCCACTTGTGCCTTACTGTATCCTGTGTCATGTCCAATCAGTTGTAAACAATGGCATCTCTGAACAGTGAGATGAGAATAGGAATGTGGTATTTTAAAGCAGTGTTGTATTTTAATCAGTAATCTACCTGGCGGATTTGTTTTTAACCAAAAAGATGAATTATCAATGATTTGTAATTGTATCGGTTGATTTTTTTTTGAAAAGATGAACCAAAGGATTTGACTGCTAATATTTTATTCCTTACACTTTAACTTTTTCTGAATAAGTCTCTCATAATGAGCGCAGTGTCAGACTGCACCTACTCTGATGGTATGTGCCATTTGTAAAATAAAATAGATCAGAAAAGCACAAAAAGAGAAAACTGGTTCAGACATTCAGTGGGCAAATAAATTATGTACTGCAAAAGAATGATTTTTATTCAAGAAAGCTTTAAAAGTTTTATATCCAGATATACAACCACAATAAAGCAAAATAACCTATCAAAATAGAAATGTTGCTATCTTTATAAGTGCAATTTAATTTGTAAATAGAGTTTGAATCAAAGTATCAGAAAATACTGCTTCAAGATTTAATTTTAAATCTGCAAATTTAAGGGATATTGGGAAAAGTTTTGGTGTGTTTCTGTTGACTTCTTTTTTGTATGCTGTGATAAAAGAGAAATGAAAAGTGCCAGTCACTGTGTGGTGTCTAGGAAAATCATATATATATTTTTTTTCTCCAAGAAATAAATTCTTCCTGGACGTTGGCCATACAGCTTTTAAAAATTATTACTTTGTATGTTCAAGTGATAGCAGGTAGCCAAATTCTTTGGCAGTGTGCTCTGGTCTATTACATATTTAAATTACCCATCAGTTGTGAGTGACCTCCTGTGGGACTTGCATTCACACAGGGCAGAGCCCAGAATTGCCTTTGACTCTGGCTGGTAATTTTGGGTTGTGGCAGTCTGGCCAAGTGGACTGCTTAGAAACCCGTCTTCAACCAACCAAATACAATACTTTCTTTTACTTCTATATATTTACTTATTGGGTTCACTTAGCTTTTTTGGCTGTGTGTATGTAAATATGTGTGTATTTTAAAAACTATTTATGGAGCTGAAAGTACGTAGCATATAAGTGAGTTTCGGCTGGTCAATTTTATACCTTGCTCCCTAATCTGTGTATAGCAATTTTCTTTTCTCTATTTTAAGGTTTTTTGACATCCTCTATTTTGTTTTAACCTTATAAAGATGATGCCACTAACTCATGGACTGATTATATATAAGCAAATTGTTTTATTTAATGGGAATTGTCTTGACGTGGAAGAACAAGTAGAACTTGCATGGCGTGTTTTGTTTTTTTTATATAAAGCCCATCCTTTACTACTCAGTTCATCATGGCTTTTCTGGACTGGAGGTGGACAGAATGGCATGTGTGTGCTTACATTTTCCTAGGAAATGTCACGCACCTAGTTTATTTCCTTTGGCCTGTCTCCTTTAGTTCATTTTCACTTGGTTTGCTTTTTGTTTTCATTTTGGGGGATTTTGTTTGTTTCCCCTCTTCCTTTGAGAGGAAAATGTCACTTTCATCTTAATCTTTTATGCTGGGGACCCTGTAGTGCTCTTGAACTTCAGAGTTCTGGAACCAAACTGAAGCTTCACAGTGGAAACAGCATCAACCAGACAGTTCTGCCCTGAGAACATGCCAAGCCGTTTCCAAGAAGGCCCCTCTCGTAGTTAGAAGAAAAACTTAATTATGTGAAAGGATACCTTTCTCTGTCAGTGCCCCTCCCCCGTCCCCATCCAGCCCTTCCTTTAGGAAAGGGAGGAGTACAGTATATGGCTGGCTGTTTGTCTTGTGGGAGTGACAGGTGAAAGCAGGAAAGGAGGTTAGTATGACCTGTTCACCCACTTTTATTTTTTTTTTCCCATAGCTAGTTATTTCTTCTTTTTAGCAAGAAAATAATGCCTCAGTGGGTAAAAGAGCCAACAAAAAAAAAAAAAAAAAAAAAAAGGAAGTGGAAATAAAGTCATTGATAATGAAAAGAGGGATTGGTAAGAAATCATAAAATGTTTGCCTGGATATTGTCTTTTTTCTGGAGAGTTTGGAGGAATGGTCCTGAGTGACCCAATCTTTCTGTCTGAAAACATACTAGCTGGCTGTCAATGAGGTGAGCAGGCAAGGTGGGATCACTCACACCAGCCTCTCACAGCAGCACTTCTGCCATCTCCTGTGAAATCTACCACACCCAACAAGACATGCTTAGTGAATGGGGTGAAGGCTGGGAAAATTCTGTGTCTGAGAGTTACTCTGAACAGCCAGTCCTGCTCTGGTGAAAATGACTGACGCTTGGTTGGCCACAGTGGCTCACAGCTGTAATGCCAGCACTTTGGGAGTCTGAGGCGGGCGGATCACAAGGTCAGGAGTTCGAGACCAGCCTGGCCAACATGGTGAAAAGCTGTCTCTACTAAAAATGCAAAAAATTAGCCTGGCCTGGTGGTGCGCACCTGTAATCTGAGCTACTCAGGAGGCTGAGGCAGGAGAATTGCTTGAACTTGGGAGGCAGAAGTTGCAGTGAGTCCAGGTCGTGCCACTGCACTCCACCCTGGGCGACAGAGCAAGACTGTCTTAGAGAAAAAAAGAAAATGAGTGATGCTGTGCTCTGGGCATGCTGCTAGTGTGTGGCAGGGCTGCAGCAGCACTCTCAAGGGACTGCATTGCAGCTGCTTATTAATAGAAGGCGATTAGGGACATTGCCACTCAGTGACATCCATGGAGAGTTGAAATCTCACTTCACCATTATTGTTGTCTTACCTCATCCAATTTTCCAAAGAGCCAATTAAACGTAACTTTATTACGGAAAATTCAAAACATACAAAAGTAGAATAATCATTGACCCTCCTATAGCTATCACTTAACTTCAATAATTAGAAACACAAGACTAAGGCATTTATAAGGAACCAAATGTGTTATGCATGTATTTAAAATATATATATTATGTTTTAAAATACATCTATAAGAAAGTGCACAATGAAGCATTTTTTAAAAGCTCTAGAAAAGCAAGCAAATGTGTTTTTTAAAACTGCTTTGGATTTACAATTTTTGAGTCAACATGCCAGTGGAATCATGCATATGGATATAGGTCTGAATCCCAGCGTGCCACGTAGGTTTGGACAAACTGTTTAACCTCTCTGGGCCTCAGGTCCTTCATCTCTAAAATGGGGCAGTAATACTCCTTTCAGGCTTAGAGTGAGGATTAAGTGGGATACATAAAACATACGCTCTCAGGAAGTGGGTGGCTGCTGTTATTACAGGTCTTGCTGTTTTTGTTGTTATAGTAGTGTTATTAGCAGCTCTGCAATTCCTGCCACCAAGCCAACAGTGTGTCATCAGATGGGTAGTGTTCTCAGGAATGAGGACACACACTAGTTCTGATGGAGAAAACTTTATTTGAAAACTGTTTTGCCTGTGGTTTTATATATAGACTCCTGCATTATGTAATGGATGGTGGAGATATTAATTTGTCCTGTGTGCTTACTTAATGGCAGGTCTAGCAATGGTCTTATGGTAACCACCTCATTTTAACCAGACTTACTAAGTAGCTGTCCTTAAGGTAAAACTAGATCCTGCCAAGAAACCATGAGACAGCTAGTTGAGGATAGGGTCTCCTTTTCCAGAAAATGTCCCCCTCTTTGTCATAACCTCGGTTTTCTAGGTTCAGGTCTCTGGTGCTCATTTTGCCTTGTCTCTCTCTTTCACCCTGGATTTTCATAACATCTCCTTTTTTACCTCTTGCTTTGTTCTGTCTCCTTTCTCTCAATGGAGGCTTTCATATATCAGGAGGGACGAGTCAATTTAAGACATGGATCATCCACGGAGAAAAACCTGCTGGAACAAATAAATTAGTGCAGCCTGATGTGGGGCATGTAGAGAACACTCCCATCTTATTGGAGTGGTTTCCTTTTTTAAAAAGCAGACAGCTGGTGGGAAAAGGAAACCAGAAGAACCTGATCTGTTACTTGTATTCAGTGGGCTGTGTGGAAGATTGGAGATGAGGTTTTGTGTCTAGCAGTTGGCCTGGCAGTTGGCCAGAAGGATAGTGTTAACTTTAAACTCCGAGAGTGGGTAGCCATTGTGACAAGCATGGATTTTAGCCAAGGGCTCTTGAGTTCTGACTGGACAAGAACCTGACTGGGTCAATCCTCCAAGTTTCTTTTTTTTTTTTTCTTTCTTTTGAGACAGAGTCTTGCTCTGTCACCCAGGCTGGAGTGCAGTGCAATCTCAGCTCACTGCAACCTCCGCCTCCCAGGTTCAAATGATTCTCCTGCCTCAGCCTCCCGAGTAACTGGAATTACAGGTGCACGCCACCATGCCTGGCTAATTTTTGTATTTTTAGTAGACACAGGGTTTCGCCATGTTGCCCAGGCTGGTCTCAAACCCCTGGCCTCAAGTGATCCACCCGCCTTAGCCTCCTAAAGTGCTGGGATTACAGGCGTGAGCCACTGTGCCCGGCCCCAAGTTTCTTTTGCAGCATCAACAATTAACTTCTAAACAAAAAAACGAGCTGCCCTTTTTTACAGTAAGACACTACTATGAACTACAGCAGCCATTCACTGAGTACTTAACCATGTGCCCTACACTGACCTAGCTGAACACAGCCTCAGCTTTCCAGAATACCACCATGAGGTAGATGGTACCATTTCCTTTGTGCAAAGCAGATAATTAAGACTCAAATAATTTTAGGAATTTGCCCAAGATCAAACAGTAAGGGACAAAATCGGAATTCAAATTCACATCTCCATTGACATTTCAATCACCCCTTTATTTTACTTTGCTCCCCACTCCCAGCCAAAGCACTTTAACCTGTAATTGCATTTAAATTTGTATTTATCATAATGGTGATGGTTCCGTTTTTTGTCAAAATTACGTAGACCTAATTTATAGACAAAGACTGGCATGGAACTCAGTGAAATTTAATGAAATTGATGCAGAATTGGGCCTTCGTTTGTGTCTAGTGGTTGCAAACACTGTGATTCTGCATTCTCTAACCCAGGGGTCCCCAACCTGTACCCCAGGGCCAGGTACCAGTTCTTGGCCTGTTAGGAACTGGGCCGCACAGCAGGAGGTGAGCAGTGGGCCAGCAAGCATTACCGCTTGAGCTCCGCCTCCTGGCAGATCAGCAGCAGCATTAAATTCTAATAGGAGCACAAACCCTATTGTGAACTGCACATGCAAGGGATCTAAGTTGCATGCTTGTTATGAAAATCTAATGCCTGATGATCTGTCACTGTCTCCCATCACCCCCAGATGAGGCCATCGAGTTGCAGAAAAACAAGCTCAGGGCTCCCACTGATTCTACGTTATGATGAGTTGTATAATTTTTATTATATATAATTAATATATATAATTAATATATAATATATTATTATATATTATAATGTAGTAACAATAGAAATAAAGTACATGGTAAGTGTCATGGACTTAAATCATCCTGATGCCATCCCCCCTCACTGGTCTGTGGAAAAATTATCTTCCATGAAACTGGTCCTTGGTGCCAAAAAAATTTGGAACCACTGCTCTAACCCTCCCACCACCTTCACTCACTTCCTGTATGTTGTCCTGGGCTGGCTAAGTGCTATGGAAATGTTCATGGGGGTCTTTGTTCTGCCATCTCAAACTGTGCAAATTCTAAGAAACTTGGAAGATAAAGTATTTGGCTAGTGGGAAAAAAAATTGATAATGTTTTCAACATTAACTGGAGTGACAGTTTGGTAATCAGCTCTCTGAGAAAGCTTCAGCATATTCCGAAAATTGGCAGTTAGCTCCAGAGTGAGCTAATTAGTTAGGAATGACTTTTAATACTCACTACCTTTAATAGCCTACCCTTGGAGAAAAGACAGATAATGAACACTTGGAAATCTATGGTGCTGCAACTTGACCTTCATGCCATTTGGGGGAAATGAGAAAGATGACTCATAATTTATTATTTAAAGAATCCTCCTTTTATAATGTGTTATTGTGAAAGATTTGACAAATAATGATTGCTCCTTTAGGAACTCTCATTTAATCAAAGAATCAGAAAACAGGAAGAATAGAAAACTTGTGTGACTAAGCAATGTTTAATCTTATTTGAAACTGGCTCCACCACCCTGGTGATAGAAAGAGAAGGTCCTATGGAGTCTTCCCATAGCAAGAAACCCGGCTTGTAACAGGGTATAATAGAGTGACACCCCACACCTGATGCCCAGTAAATGCAGAGTCTGCAAATGCCTCTCTTTTGAGGCTTTCTCAAGGTAAGTCATAAATGAAGTCTTACTAAACAAGCTGCTTGCCAACAGTTGCCCAGGCACCCCATGGGACTGCACTTCACTGAGCATCTGAAGAAGGTATTCATTGGAAATGGGCTCTCCTGGGAGACTGTCTGGATCCCGAGTGTTTGGCGTTCATGTTCCCACACCTGGCTGCTGCTTCTTGCCCTTGCTTAGCTGTAGGTGTGAGTGCTTGTTTGTTTAAACCTCTGTCAGCACTGCTTGGAAAAACAAAACAACATGGTTACTTGTCTGGGCATTGAATGTTCTTCCTGAATTTTGGTCCTGCCCATTGGCCCAGAGGCATAATGGGTGGGGCAAGTTTCGGGGTTAGTTTGGAAAGTTTCAAGAAGAAGCTATGGGCTGGGTCTGTTAGGTTGGGATTGCTCTTGGTTTTAATCCTTTCGGAATGTCTGAGGGTCAGGAGCATTGCCATTGATGGCTATGGGAGTTGTCAGGCTGTGACTCTCTTTCTCACAGAGAATGCCAGAGGCACCCGGGAAGGCATTTGCCAGGGCTCTGACAGATGTAAAGTAAGCCTCATCCATGTTGTGTTCTCACCGGGACACCTGGAAGGTGTTCAATGTAGAAAAGTCAAGAGCTAGATGAGATACCAGCTTGATGTCAACTCCCTCCCCAACAATGGCTGCCTGTCTTCATCTTAATGCCTGCCAGCAGGTAAAGGGCGTGTGCCCCTGGGACCTGGGTAGCAGCAGTCCTTGGGAAACCCAGGGTTTGTCATCTGTAGTCACTTGACCCTTGGTAAATTACCTAACCTTTTATTCCACATCTCAATGAGAGCAAATCCATGTAGCAATTAGGTTGTTAGAAGAAATGATGTTGACAACCAGATGTGAAGCTCTGATATGGTTCTTTTCTGCTATCATAGCTACTGGCTCTTTAAAGAACTGGTACAATGTGGGGGGCAGAAAAACCACATCATGCAGTGATGTTGCTCAGTCAGGCATACAGCTAGAGAAGAGCTATCTCTATCCTTAGCTCCTTAGGTTTGTCCAGGGCTGCTCAGTGTGGCTGACCCTGTCTTGCTCACTCTCATGTAACCTGGCACCTACGGCAGTATCCTCTTCTTCTTGAAGGCTGTATTGCGCAGCAGTTTCCAAACTTGAGCATGCATTGGAACCCCCTGGTGTCAGTGTTAAAGCAGATTGCTGGACCCCACGCTCAGAGTCTGATTCCGTAGGTCTAGTGTGGGGCCTGAGAATTTGCACCTCTAACATGTTCTTAGGTGCTGCTGCTGCTACTGGTCCAGGGAACATACTTAGAGAACCACTGCTCTAGTGTGCTGGAAGGAGCAGGAGCTTTGGAGTTAAGCAGATTTAAATCCAGCTGTGGCACTTACTTAATGTTGTGACCTTGAGAGATTTTTCTTAATTTCCCCAAGTCTTAGTGAACTCATCTGTAAAATGGGAATAATACTTACTTCAAGACTTTCTAGAGAATTAGATGACAGAGCACATAGAAGGTTTTTAGCAATTACCACTCTTTTTGCTATCCTGAAATGCATCGTATTTGCTCCATATGGGGAGTCACAAGAACATCTGGTCTCCTTAGCGATGTGCTGACCTTTAGGCTCTTCTTGCTAATCTATACAAGCTAATAGGAGTAGAGGAAGTGCTAACAGAAGTAGAAAGCATACTTGCCTCTGGGTGAGTGCCTAAGGGGAAGACTGAAAATGCAGATGGCTGATGTAGTTAGAATATATTAACACTTCCTGACTTGCCTGGTGGCTTATCAGCCCACACACCGTGGACTTTCAGTGAGCAGGAACAAAATCTGTGCCTGACATTCAGGTCACAAATCTCCCAACCCACAATCTGTCCTTACACCTGGGCTTTTGGAAGAAATCTTCCAATCTTGGTATTTCAGATTGGGAAACACCCAAGCTCAGGATCTCCAACCTCATCTGTATTCTTCATGTAGCATGACAATCATTTTAGTGTCCTTAGGAAACAAGTTGCCTTATTCAACTGTTCCAAGGTTTCATGACTCTCTCCAAATGCATTATCCCCTTGTCACACTAAGGATGATCCTCAAAATAGGTAACTGGTATGGAAATATATGGTAATACATAGACCAATACACACATTTTAGAAACTCCCTTTTTTTTATCATATAAAGCAATATTATATGTATCATAAAACTACTTCTCTAGAGATCTGAGTAGTAGTTCTAATCATTTATGATATTGCATAATTATGCATATAATATATTCATAATTTTTGCATCTTTAGGGCTTATTTAATGTAGGTGGCTGCTATCTAAATGATGGCCTTCCCTGGGCCACCATTTGCTTTGGGAACAACATCAAACTTTTTTGATAGCATTCCTATTAAAATACTCAAGTCCAGGGGCTCTTAAACTATAACCCATTGCCTCTTTTTATAAATAAAGTTTTCTTGGAACATGAATATGTCCCTTTTTAAATGTGCAGGGACCAAATGGCACTCAAAGCCAAAAATATTGATTATTTGACCCTTTATTGACAGTTTGCAGGGGTTTCTGCCTCTAGTCAGTCAATAGGTGCAACCTGCTATCTTTTGCCACCAGAGGGCGTTG